AAGACAACAAAGTGAGAAACAAAAGCATTAGTATGTGTTCTAAAGATCGCAACCTGACGATTCTTGATGTTTATCTTGGACAGGAAGAAGTGACCATAGAGGAATCCAATCATACTAGGCTTCTTGTAGAGGGGTACACTTCTGAAATTACAAGTAAGACCCCAACAATATCTCCTAGGCAAAGATTCCATACATGGCCTGTGAAATCCTCTACAAATTCAAAACGTGCTCCACGCAGATCTAAATATACAGACAGAAGCGGGACAAAAATACGCCATGAAAAAGTGTGAAAAGGCTCTTCAACAGACTCTGAGCATTCGACAGATTACAAGGTTTCTGAAACAACTAATGGGTCTTCCAAGGTCACACCTCTGGGCGCATACATCCTTCCAGGAAAGCTAAGACGACTGGAGCGGATTGCTGTATGTCAGATGATTCTTCATCGCGTTTGCGAATAAGCTTTCTGCGCGTTGGACAAATCACACTTATTCGGGAATAGGTTCAATGTAGTGTACATTTTCTATTCACAGACATCCGAGGCAGAATAGGTCTTCAGCTCTGTTTCTCCCATTGACGCGCCGCCTGAAACTAAGGCAACTGGGTTCATATTTACCTTTAACGGCAAGTGAAGACATAAAGATGCGATTTCATCGTGACACTAAACTGAACATTAAAAGACGACTGAGGGTTGTTTAGAATTGTTCTGAATTGAACTTTTAACAACCAGTTGTGGAACTCTTCTTTCCGTGGAGCCGTACAACCAATGCCAACAAAGGATAACTACGCAAAAACAAGTAGATTTTCACGTTTTAGGATACTTTCTTAATGAACCGTAACCATTCTTTGACATTTTGTCAAACATGAAACGGATGAAAAGCATATGCAATATCTTAAATGGACTGTGAAAGATGTGACGAATCGTCACATGGCGCTGGCCTGTGGCAGAGGTACTATGCTGGCTGACTGCCGGCCGCATGGAATTCTGGGTAGGAGAGTGAGTTAGTATCAGCAATGTCCATTATTTTTGTCATTTCCCTTTGATTTGTATTACATGTTTGATTTATCATATCGCGAATAATAATCCATAATAAATTACAGAAATGAATGTTCTTTTATCTTGCGACTAACTGCCAAACACAGACGTTTTTGATCTGTGCTAAAGTCGAGTTATGAACGCGCAGGCGAAATGCGTGACAGAGCCGAGTTCACTGAATTGGTTGGAGTACACACAGAGCATGAGCTACTTATGACAACGTGACATCCTCGCTTTGCTTTTGTGCACACCTGGGTCAGTCAGAGACTCTCTCCAATAATATTATATTATTATGAACTGAATATTGAACCGTAGTCAATGCCTTACGTGTTGTTTGCTGTGATACAAGAAGTTTAGGTGAGGTGAAGTGGGGTTTAACGTCGCGTCCAAGATTATTGCACTTATATAGCGACGTGCATGCACATATGTGTGTGTGTGGCTGCTTGTACTAGTCCGGACTGATGCCGATTTATAGTGCTAGCTCACTGAGATACCATGCCGCAGTTTAACATGAATACCTCACTCAGACACAGTATACGGACTCCAAGCCGACCAGTCCTTGTTTTATCTCTTTAATACCGAGCGCCAGACGGTAACAACAAGTACCATCTTTTAACGTATTTTGGTATGACGCGGTCGGGGATCGAACCCCGTCCCTTCCGCTCTCCGGGCGGACGCTCTCCCATTAGACCACGGAGGCAGTCTGTGATACAAGAAACCACTGTTTACAGACATTAACATGTACTCAATAAGCTATCTATACCCATCACACCCTGATCATAATGGACTATGCCACTCAGGTACTCAACAGTTAGGTCAAGGTTTGTCTTTTCTCTGCTCACCATGAAGAGGAAATCCTTTAAGATACCCTGTAACTTGATTTCTAAAGGGAAAGTTCACTATTGGAAAGATGAAGTCATCCCCAAATAATACAGTCCGATGGAGAGTATTTTGTCATTTCGAATCTTTAGTTAAACCTATTGGCCTATTCCCCTTTGTTTTGATTTTGACAATCTTGGCATAAATACCAATTCATGTGTATAATGAAATTTATCCGCAAAAAGGGAGCACACGTGGTATGCAGGTATAAATTCTACTTCCTCATGACTTGGAAGACAGTATTTTGTCATCCTATATCTACAAAACAAATGTTCAGGGAACTGAAAAAACACACCTTTATAACCTTTATATGGTAATATTTTTCATACAAATAGTTTGGCTCTTCCGCATGGTCTGAAGGACAGCGTCTGCCAGTGTTTTGATTGAAAGGTTGGCAATTTCTACTACAAATGATCTGATTTGACTTCAGAATTCTGTTTAAGGTTGTGGTTTTTAGCAAAGTAGTGAGTGAGTTGGGTTTAACGCCGCTTTAACAGTATTCAATTTATGTCATGGCGTGTCAGCTTCATGTGTGAGGAAAGCCCGAAGTGATGCAGGTCTCAGACGTTTACCACTTCAGTGAAACCCACGAGCACGGATATGGTTCTGACAAACCTAGAAACATAATTGGGGCGAACCGGGATTCGAACCAACCCACAATCATAGGTTTCTGGCGTACCCAAGGGAGGCAACTCCCAAAACGCGGCGCCTTAGTCGACTGGGCCACCCGTGCCCCCTTTGAGCAAAGTAATACACAGTAGAACATATTTTATCTATAAAGATTAGAAGTGTATATATAACTTCAAAAGTATAACTACAAATATATTGTATGTAAGAATATGGACACAAAACGTTTCTGTCGTATGTAGACATTCGCTCCAACACAAACAAACCAAACACTGTCATTTCGCATTGAAAACAGTCGAACCTCGTTGTGTCAAACTTGGATGTGTCGAATTCCCGGTTCTCTCGAACTCATTTGGGAGACCCAAGTATCCAAATTAATTCTTAAATGCCTCTGGTGTCTCGAGTCCCAGATACCTCGAACTATTTTCCAGGTCCCCACGAGTTCGACACAAAGAGGTTCGCCTTCCCTTTCTCCATGGAGAAGTTCATAGTTGTTGTTGGTAATTTCGCAATCGTCTTTTAAAACTGGAATGACTTCAGTAACTTCCTCTCGAAAAGCCAACAGTTCTGTCATCTGTCACTTCATTTGTACAGAGAATTCCCACCAATAAGATTTAATAGGGCACTTGAAAGTGGCACCTTTAAAAAGACACCGATTGGAAATTAATCTAACAATACTCAACAGTTTCTGTTTCTGTAAAACCAAGTCTTCGAAAACAGATTATTCATTTCAGTTTATTGTACATATGACCCATATTAAATACATGTATATTATACAATTATATTACATTGCACATGCATCAAGATATTGGATTATATTACAATTGTTCCCATTTTAGATACAATATACATATATTTTTACAGAGGCAATATATTCTTAAGTCTTTTACAAGTAATTATAGAAAACCATACCGTGTGCTTGGTTGTTCATTAACACTTTACAATGGTTAGATGGATCGGTATCCAGAGGAAACACAAACAAAACATGTTTTTCATCTTCTAGACATTTACATTGCGAGAAGAGAGAGTCTTCATGACCTACATCACATTTACCTTTACGTACGTTTTAAACACCAAATGTATTGTACCCACTTCTAAAGTTTAACCAGGCCTTTCTGAACTAAGTACATTAATATTTTGTCGTACGATTCAAACTAATGTTCTGATTTTATTGTGAAATAATATACAAGTGATTTTGTATCTATAAGAAGAGAATGCCAGTATTTTGTTTTGCACAGTCAACAATACGTTGTTTAGGACAAAGATAAATGTCTCTAGATTACCTTCTCCCTGGGATATCAAAAATGCTCGAATCGGTTAAGAAACAGCACATTTCTAATATGAGATGCTCAGTTTAAGTATTTCCTATCACATGTATCATGTATCAGCTCCTGTAAAGGCTGTCATCAGCTCTTCATCGCTGACGTCACCTGAACTCAGTATAGCATTGATAGCCCGTTTTGCCGACTTCACTAATGACTCGAAAACACCTCCAAAATATGGTGCGTTTGGAGGATTAAACAACCACTTCACACTTTTGTTTGCTAAGGTTGACTTCATCACATCCGAGTTTAGTCCAGAAATGAGCTGCTTCAGCTCCTTTGCAGCACCAACAAAGTTGGTTCCATTATCCGAGATTACCTCCTTTGGCATACCTCATCTATGAGCCATACGAAACAGAGCATTCAGAAATGAATCTGTCTAAACCGAATGCCATTTCTTAATGAACCGCTGGGGTTGGCAAACATGTGAAAAGGCAAAGATAACGTTTTTGTCGACTCTTGCCTCGACCCTGTACAGTGAAAAAGGGACCTGCATAGTCCACACCTGTTGTCACAAATGCTTTCATTGTACACCTCACTCTGATCTTCGGTAGGTCTGCCATTATCTGATGCGCTGGTTTGGCTTTTTGTCGTCTACACCATGAACATTCTCTTTCCCACTGACGAATTTCCTCTCTAGCTGAAATAATCCAAAACCTAGATGACACTGCTGATAACGTACTGTTCGTACCTGTGTGCTTGACCTGCTCATGGTAAAACTTGACAATCAGTTTGGTGACCCAACTATGTCTAGGGAGTATAATTGGAAATCTGGCACTGAATGACAATACGTCAGCAAATCTGAGTCTCTCTCTTGTCCTCATTAACCCATTTTTATCAACGTAAGGCTGTAAGCCAAACAACTTGCTGTTTGAAGGCAAGTTTGATTTCCGCATCAGTGACGAATAGTCATCAGAAAATACTTCTCTTTGAGTCCTGACCATAATTGTAGTTTCGGCGTCCTCAATTTCTTCAGGATCAAGTTCACCCTTTTTCCTAAGTGAATATGGAACCCTAGCGTTGTTCAGAAACCTATAGATCCATGCCGACACTCTACACAATCTCTTCATTCTTGAAAATCTAGATGGCGCTAATCTCCAAGAGATTGGATCAGCTTTAGTAAACATGGCGATGTTTACTTAAGAAGGCTTCTTCAGTTCTGATGTCTCAGTATTGTCCATGTCAATGGTCTGCTTCGGCCATTCAGTTTCATCATGCGTCATAAATTCAGGTCCATTCAGCCATTTTTCTGTCAAAAGTGCTTCAGCGTCTACACCTCTACTAAGAATGTCTGCAGCATTCAGCTTGGATGGTACGTATTTCCACTGACTGATGTTTGTATGCTCCTGTATGTATCCAATCCTATTTGCTACAAATGGCTTAAAACACCGACTCTGTCTTTTGATCCACCACAGTACGTTCTGGCGGTCTGACCATAGCGTTGCACGTTGCAAAGGTAATTCTAATGCTTTTGTTATAGCCAGTAACAGTCGTACACCCAGAACTGCCGCAAGCAGCTCCAATCGAGGCATACTAACTGCCTTGAGGGGAGCAACATGGCACTTGGAAGCAACTAGATAACTCGACTTTGTGTCCTCTTCACGAGTGGTTACTAAATATACCACAGCTCCAAATGCTGCCTCTGAAGCATCTACAAATGTATGCAACTTCATCTTTGAAGTATCTAAGCTAACCTCAAGCCCCCTTGGAATTTTAACAGAACACAACTTTTCAATTTCAAGGTACCATGACCATGCTTTTTGTTCCAGATCTGGACTGAGGGTTTCATCCCAGTTAACACCGGATATCCACATTTCTTGCAGAAGAACCCTTGCCCAAATGATGAATGGACCTAAGAAACCAAGAGGATCAAACAGCTTAGCAGTTTCTTTCAAGAAGTTCCTCTTAGTCATCTTGATATCCTGCTTTAAGGACATGAAAGAAAATCTAAACTCATCTGATTCTGCATTCCACAGTAAGCCCAGTGCTTTTACAGATGGCAATTCACTCAATTGAATATTAATCTCTTTCAATCTATCCTCTTCTGGTATTTCTCGGAGAACTTGCACGGAATTGGAAACCCACTTACGAGCGTGCATACCTGCTGTACTCCACAGCTGTTGCAGCTGTTTGTAAAGCTCTATAGCTTTGCTATTTGTGTCAACGGAATCCATATTGTCATCCATATATGTTGACTTTTCCACGGTTGCTGCAGCCAATGGAAGTTCTTTCTCCATGGACTTAGCATGTTCTTGAGTGATATACTGAGCTAAAAAGGGGGAACAATTTAGTCCAAACACAACCTTTAAGAATTCAAACACATCTGGCTTTTTGTTCAGATCCATAGACCTCCAAAGAAACCTTAGATACGGACGGTCATCCTGAGCGACTTCAATTTGAAGGTACATTTCAGCAATATCGCAAATGATTGCAACAGGATGTTTGCGAACACGAAGCAAGATCTCAAATAGATCATTCTGGAGTTTTGGTCCTTGATGAATGACATCATTTAAAGATATGCCTTTATTCTTTGCAGATGCGTCAAATACGGTTCTTACCTTTGTTGTACTTCTGTCTGGTTTAATGACTGGAAAATGTGGTAAGTACCATTTACTTTGATCTATTTCTGTTTCAGGTACCTTTCTGATGTATTTTTCAGATTCTCATGACCCTCCTTCCATGGAATGCCAACCTGATATTGTCTTTTCTGTAAACAAGGGACTGTTCTACAGCCTTAACTGCATCATTCTCATCAATGCTTCTAATCGATGTCAAACCTGAAATGCTTTCAGACTCCCAAAATGAGTGAATCAAAGATTCAATATCTGTATCTGCTGTTGCTTCTTTTTCTGTATTTCTGATGAAGAAGGAACCTGCTACGTGTGTTTTGTCTGAACCTGATACAGCACCTGTCCAACCTAAAGGTGTCAACCGAGCCACAGGCTCTCCTTGAGCTCCACGGACCTCTTTAAGAGAGGAATGCAGCTCTAAATAATCCATACCTAACAGGATGTCAACTCTTGGGCGAGAACTGACCTTTGGAAATTTTATTTTCGTCAAATGTGGCCATTCCTTGGCATGTTTTCGCCAATCAATGACTTCCATTCTACCTGGTACTTTGGTAGTTGTCAAAGCTGTGATGTTCATGTCAACTGAACCATCAGTACTTTTTAAGCCGATATCAATTAGCATACTATCAAATATTTCATTTGAATGTTTGTCATTGAGGACATTGACTGACACTTGCTGTGTCTGACCTTGAACACCAAGTTCTGCTGCTACATCCTCGTTGATGTAAGTATGCGTGCTGGCATCATCCAGCAAGGCATTAACCGTCATTCTGTGCTGACCATTTTTAAGGATAACAGGAACTGTCCTAAGTGAAAGGTAATGACCTTCCTGCTTAGAAGTTGCCATGGTGATTGTTTCTGACCTACCTGCTTGTGGTGTTCTTGTTGTATGTTTCATCTCTACATTACCACTGTCGGCCCTAGCACTGCTTGTAACTTTGGTTTGATCATGAAGTAACCTGTTATGATTTGCTTTACAGCCATCAATCCCACACTTCAAAACTCTGCTACACGATCTTCCCAGATGACCGATATCAAGGCAACGAAAGCATAAATCTAACTGTTTTGCCCTTTCCCAGCGTTTAGGTAGGCCAATAGATTTAAACTCTATGCAATCTGAAATGTCATGATCTGCTTCATTACACACATGACATTGCCTTGCCCTAGTTTTATTATGTGTGGTTGCATATGTTCCTTTCTTAGAGCTATCTCTCTTGTCTGTTGTCTTTGACCTATCAGCTATTCCATGTTTTACCTCTGAAGCTATCGTTTGGAACTCTGCTTCTTGCAGAATCCATTCCGTAAGCTTCTCAACAGACTCTTGTCTTTGGTGCTCAAATTACCATCTGTGGAACTGAGTAATCATAGGCTCATTCATTTTCTTAACCAGTAGTGAATACAAACATCCACTACCAAGTTCCTCTATTTTATCAGATTCCCTCAGACTGACTACAGCTACATCAAGCATGTCCGCAAATTTGTCCATATCCTTAGCATTCCCTAATCGTATTGGCTTGAAATTGTATATTTCGTCCAATTGTAATGCTACCTGGCGTCTCTTGCCGCCATATTTTCTGTCCAATCTCTCCAAGGCTACATCATAGACCGAAGCACTGTGACCTAGCCTTGAAACTATGTGTGCTGCTTCTCCAGAAAGGTACTGCTTCAATTGCAGAAATTTATATTCATTGGTGGCTGGAGCTTTATCAACACATGCCATAAAAGCAGACTTCCAGCCTTCATATTCTCTGACGTCACCAGAAAATACTGGAATGGAAACTCTCTTCAATTGTTTCCACATGTCTTCACCTAAATTGTGTTGCCTAGATGACTTATCTGAAGTTGTATAACAACCTTTTGTATTATCTGGGACTGGTGTCCGTTTCATATCCATATTTGACCTTTGTTGAAAATGACCTAAATTGAACGTAGCATGTTTGTAACCTTGGTTACTGATTTGTCCAGTGCCATCATTGTCCAAGTCTGCATCATGCAACAAACCTTTAAAGCTATCTTGCGACCGAGTCGCATCAGCTTGACGTGACCTTAACATTTCTGACTGAATGCTTTTTGCGTCCGAACTAACATGTGATCTGTTCTTAAGAAATGCTTCAGCCATATCAAGGGCAAGTTCAATTTCATCTTCAACAGTTTCTATCTCCTTACTATTTTTCTGAACTTTCTCTAGGTCACCAACCCAGTTGTAAACTTCTAGTAATTCCACTATGAGACCTAAAGCCTTGCTTTGCAGAAAACTTACCTGATCAATTAAACTCCTAATTGTCTTACGATCTGGTGTCTCAAGTTCAACTAAATACAACAATTTGTTCTTTGATTTTGTCAAAGCTGACTTTGAAATAGTTTTCTGATGCTTAAGTTTAGCTATCTTTAGCTCAAATTCAGAATTGTTCTTCAGTCCTACGTCTGAAGAAGTATACTTTTCTATTTCCGCCTTACTCGCAGACCCTAACTACGACATACTGATTGCATGTAACAATTAGCTATACCTAATGCTAATCTAAACTAACAAAAGCCTAATACAAAACTAAAATATTCTAACCAGTGAAACCACGCTCTGTTACCAAATGTTGCGCAGTGGAACTGAATATTTGAGCGTGGTTTAACTTTTAAGATACAATCGTCTTTGTAGTTGTATATCAGTATCCGCCACTGGTATGATATCATCTTCAAATTATAAACAAAGTATGTTGTACATTTCCTCTGATAGCACCATCGTCTTCCACTAATTCCTTGATTTAACCTGAAAAAGAAGAGGACTGACAGTACATCCCTGTAGCTGCTGCTTGAGGTCAGTCTACCCATCCAGTCACGTAATTCAGGTGATCTTAGACCAGAGTGACCTCGTGACCTAGACGGGATAACACATACAATATCTTGCTTGGGATACTTTTCGGTCTCCAAGGGTATGTTTGGGTTATAAACATAACACATATATGATGAATGTATTAACATGTTTGTAATGTATACATTTACTTGTACAAATATGGTTGTGTACCTCATATAAAGTATAAATCATGGGCGGGTCCAGCCTTTTTAAAGACAGATCCAATAACAAAATCCTCTCTCAGTGGGTCAGTGAGGGAATGGGGTCTACAACATACTACATTTGATTTTCAAAAGGACCCTCTATCCACCTATGTAAATCATCAGATGCAAACCTGTGCATTGGTTATAGCTTAATATAATTTGCCTAGTGGTGGGCACCCTTAATTAACACTTGGCAGATGCTGATACGGCCTAATCCTATATATCCTTTGTTGTTATTATATCCATAATCATAAGTGCGGGTGCGGGTGAACGGTGAGGAATATCTACTCTCGACAAACATGTTATAGAAAATTTACAAATAAATAATACTGGTTAAAAAAAGAATGAAAAGCGCCAGACGATTGTAGGTGAGGTGAAATGGGGTTTAACGTCGCGTCCAAGATTATTGCACTTATATAGCGACGTGCATGTACGTGTGTGTGTTTGTGTGGCTGCTTGTACTAGTCCGGACTGATGTCGATTTATAGTGCTAGCTCACTGAGATACCATGCCGCAGTTTAACATGAATACCCCACTCAGACACAGTATTCTGACTACGAGCCGACCAGTCCTTGTTTTAGCCCCATAATACTCTCGACAAACATGTTATAGAAAATTTACAAATAAATAATACTGGTTAAAAAAAGAATGAAAAGCGCCAGACGATTGTAGGTGAGGTGAAATGGGGTTTAACGTCGCGTCCAAGATTATTGCACTTATATAGCGACGTGCATGTACGTGTGTGTGTTTGTGTGGCTGCTTGTACTAGTCCGGACTGATGCCGATTTATAGTGCTAGCTCACTGAGATACCATGCCGCAGTTTAACATGAATACCCCACTCAGACACAGTATACTGACTCCGAGCCGACCAGTCCTTGTTTTAGCCCCTTTATGCCGAGCGCCAGACAGGGTAACAACAGGTAGCAGCTTTTAACGTCTTTTTGTATGACGCGGTCGGGGATCGAACCCCGGACCTTCCGCTCTCCGGGCGGAGGCTCTACCACTAGACCACAGAGGCGGTCCCAGACGATTGTAAACACACCATGCTATATGTTGGGGAATTTGTATTTTTGTTTTGTTGCCAGGAGATCTGTTGTTCAACACTTCATTTTCTTGGAGTCTCGACTACGTCAATGGCCACAGTTATAGTTTTGTTTTTTGGTTTTTTTAAACAAGAAATAGGATCGGACAACTGTAAAAGCTTATTTAACACCTCTCCCGTACAAAATAACAATTATAAATTTGAGAGTACAATAAAAGGAAAATTTACATCTAACAGAAATTTAGCGATTATAACGAGAAAATAAACGAAGTAACGAGAAAAGATTCGAAATTTCGAGTTTTTTAAATATACTTGAAATAACGACGAAATAATCAAAATCACGAAAATTTCATCGAAGTAACGAGAAAAACTCGAAATTTCGGGAACATAAACAAACCATTGATATAATGAGAAATTTCGATTTAAAAAAATATATAAGCCATTAGGTTTTCGTATTGAGGAACTCCTGCAACAACTTGTTTAACATTAGGCTTATAGCCGTTAATTTGTATTATTGTTTTGTTGCCAGGAGATCTGTTGTTCAACACTTCATTTTGTTGGGGTCTTGACTACGTCAATGGCCACAGTTAGAGTTTATTTTTTTATATTTAAACAAGAACTAGGATGGGAGGACTGTAAAAGGTTATTTAACACCTCTCCCGTACAAAATAACAATTATAAATTTGACAGTACAATAAAAGGAAATTTACATCTAACAGAAATTTAGCGATTATAACGAGAAAATAAACGAAGTAACAAGAAAAGATTCGAAATTTCGAGTTTTTTAAATATACTTAAATATACTAAATATAACGACGAAATAATCAAAATCACGAAAATTTCATCGAAGTAACGAGAAAAACTCGAAATTTGGGGAACATAAACAAACCATTCATATAAAGAGAAATTTTGATTTAAAAAAATATATAAGCCATTAGGTTTTCGTATTGAGGAACTCCTGCAACAACTGGTTTAACATTAGGCTTATAGCCGTTAATTACAGTGTACTGTTTCCTTTTGCGTAAGTAACTTCCAAACCATGATAATAGAGAGCCCCTTATTCCACAATAGCTTAATGTATAATCCCTGAATACCAAACTCTATCGAAAGCTTCACTATCTTCTCTATATCACAAGTTGTCATTTCTGAGATTAAACTTGACTTGATATGATGTTGAATGCCCCGCTGTAAATCTAGATTGAAATGAAGTAATTGTTCTCTTTTCCAAAAAGAAATGCCTTACACGTTAAAACACACACTTCTCAAACACTTTGGACAACCAACTAGTTAGGGCTACAGGTCTATAATTTGTGCAATAATAAACATAGTCGTTTTTATGTATTGTATACTATATACTATAGCAGAAACTTTCCTGACACAAGAAAAGATTGAATCTAATGAGGACATATTAAATAAATTACACAACGATTCTGACAGCAAGACTTCTATTCATTTTACAACACGATTGCTAATAGAATGTGACCCAGATGATTTTGAAGCATCTAGTAACGAAATGATACCTCTAATTTCAATACCGCCTCGGTGGTCTAGTGGTAGAGCGTCCGCCCGGACAGCGGAAGGTCCGGGGTTCGATCTCCGGGCGCGTCTTACCAAGGGACTTAAAATATGGTACTTGTTGTTACCCTGTCTGGCGCTCGGCATTAAAGGGCTAAAACAA